ATTTACGTCAAATATATTTTAAAATGTTATCTTCCCTTCCCCCATCACCTCCAATAAAATAAGAACAGAGTATTTTATTTTTTATTACAAATAAGTTTAAAGACTAACATAAGAAGAAAAGAATGACTTAAATTAAATATTTGATTACTTATGCATTTATTAACCCTGTCCTCTCATCTCATGGGAATTGAGCAATACATATAACCCAAGATTACCTTCACTCTAGAGCTTACTTTTATCCATTATAGATGCCCCCTTGCAAGGATGCCTATGTAGGCAATATTGTAACACATTAGGGTATCACTTGAAAAAAAATGCTGAAAAATGAAGTAAGCTTATAAAGACCAGCCACCTGTTCTTTTCTATAATGCAGTTTACATTAGAATATCCATTAGTTTTTACACTGAGTTAGGAAAATAAATGATTTCATAGGAAAGTCAGGCAGATCCTAGGCCCATAAAAAAGGAGGAGTGTGGAACAAAGGAAAAAATATAGCCTTAAGTTTTCTCCCTCCACCTAAAGGTTTGATAAATGCATCACTTTACTGATGAGGTATATTCATTCATGTTCAGGTAATCTATATCCTTTTATCTGGTTTTTATTTTTTTATGTAAAATGCATTATTTTTTAGAGCAGTTTTAGGTTTACCAAAAACTTGAGTGGAAAGAACACAGAGTTTCCATATGCCCCTTCAGCCCACCTGCTCCCACACTTCACTCCCCCCGCCCCCGCAAGCATAGTTCCCTCAACTATTACATCTTGCATTTCCGTGGTACATTTGTTACAGTTGATGAGCCAGTACTGACACATTATTATTAACTGAATTCATAGTTTACATTAGGGTTCAGCATTTGCACTATACATTCTGTGGGTTTTGACAAATGTATAATGACACTCATCCACCACTACAGTATCATCCAGAATAGTTCACTCTCCCCAAAGTTCCCTGTGCTCTACCTATTCCTCCCTCCTCTACTCCTCCTCTTTTATTTTTCATAAATCATAACTTTCGACAGAAAAAGTACAAATTTTTTTTTCTTAAGATTGTTTTGGGCCCACTATTTTACAAGGAAACTAAAACTTACCGGTTCAACAAATTCAAACTTCTTTTTCTCTTGAACCTCTTGAACTTTAAAGACATATTCTAATGATGCTTCATAGAAGTTTTGATGTTCTCGATCAATTTGTGTATCTGCCTAAAGAGTGAAAAACAGGCAAACGGTGACACAGAGAGTGATTAGCAATGGTTCTATGTAGAGAGGGACTCAATTCCTGTTCTACTCTGAAATGTTTATTAAAAATTAACTCCTACAAAAACTTTTAATTTAGCACTTATTACAGTCCTTGCCCACAAGAGCTTATGGAGCAAGAGATACACACACACACACACACACACACACACACACAGA